TTTTTAATGTCTCTCTTTGATATGCCTCTTATTTTTTTTTTTGCTTCCCCAGTGGTTGCTGCAGGGTGGAAAGTCGAGGTTACAGATTTCTGAGGGCAATGCGATCACCTGGTGGGACTCTATCTCCATGCAAACTTGCCTGGTATGGATGTAAACCGTGTCATTCTTCCTCGCTCAGAGACCACACAAAAGATGAAATGCTTGTTAGTGGCACCAAAATTTTAGATTTGGCTGGTTTGAACAGAGAGAGGTTCAGCCAGGATGTGTTTTTCTGAAATCCCCTTCAATCGCCCCCCCACTGTTCTGATCGCTGTTCTGATCACTGTTCTGATCGCTGACAGTAACTGTGAAGTAAAATAGCCACCAAAGTCATGATGTGAGAGGTTTTAAGGTCTCGTAAGGCAACCCGGTGTGGAATGGGGCTCGGGCACCAAAGATGGTGAATGTGTCGGGGGGGCTTGATGATGCCCTTGCATGTCTGTATACAACTTAAAGGGTGAGGAAGGTTGTGGAAGCGGCAGGTGCAAACTGGGAGGAGGAAATTTCCTTTTCCTCCCCATTTCCACACTCCCTCCTCTGCAAACGTCAGCTCTGGGAGTTGGGGATACTGCTTGCCTCCTGCGCACACTGGCTGTATAACCCACAATAGCGCTGGGTGCTGGTCCAAAGTCCAGCCAAACGTGCAAAAGGATTGATTTATTTCTATGTATGTTTTCAAATAGGGAGTGTAATTAAAACAGCAAGAACAATTTGGCGAGCGTTGTGGCAGAGCTGCTAGCATAAGGCCAGCTGTTCTTCCAAGGGGCACCAGCACGCACTCACTTTGGTTCAACAGAAATTAATTTGGGGGGGAACCTGAGGGTCTGGGAAAACAAATACTCTCTCCTCCTGGTACCTTTTGCCAAATGACCATGTGAAATGAAAGCCCAGCCTCCTCTGCTTTGGGTTACCGCCGGGTGTTCCAGCCTCTCCGTGTGCCAGCCTGGGAGCAGAGATGGGCACGATGGGTATGGGAGGTGCTGGCACGTTTCTTGGACTGTGAGGAGCTGGGAGAAACAGGAGACTGTGTCACCCCCTACTTCTGGTCCTGTGTGGAGTAACCAGCCTAGTGTCTATGTGAAATAGTAGATTTTGGTCTATTTTATAGTCTATGTTAATGCCACTGAATATTGCATCCTGCTAATGACTTCCATGCTGTACCTCCAGTCCCAGTTTTTCTTGTGCCACCCACGGGGAAGATTTATTCAAGGGGGTTTGATGTCCACGTGGGCTGATTTTAGTCACCTGCCGTGCATGCTTGCCTTTTCACACCTGAGGAGTCCTGCTGCTTTGCAGAGAACCTTTATAATGAGTATTACTCATATCCGCGGTGCGCTTGTAACCGCCACTAATCATTTTATTACTCTTTATAATCTATTTAAAGCACAATTAGAAACAAAATCTATACAAAGTTACAGCCGAAAGCACATCCCAGTTACGTTATAAATCCCTGAAAAACAACCATTTATCACGAAAACCAGTGCTCCTTCGCTCAGCTGACAGAAATGGATGCTGTGAGGGAGGAGGTGGGAAGGGAGGGCTCTTGGATGGCTCCTCTGGGCCCTTTCAAAATATGACTCCTTCGGGCTCCAGGAGCAGGTAATCGTGCAATGGCTTGGGCACAGGCAGCAAGGGGATAAGGCAATGGCATTTGCTGCCAAACTTTTTCCGAATGGCAGAGCGGCATAAATGTTGCAGGCACCGGACTGTGCCCGCCAGCCGGAAAAAGGACTCGTAGAATGGCTGGTGCTGCTGCAAAGAGAGAGGGAGGGGGAAAAAACCAGAGCATCAGTTGGTTTCGTTTTTCTCCTGATTAAGCTAAACAAGACGGAGATACTTTTGAAGTGAGGATCTATGGGGAGGAGGTCAGAAACCCAATCAATGATGTTTGCCCATGGGTTGGGGGGTCCATGTGCTGAGGTGGCTTCCGCAAGCAGAGGCTGGATGAGGAATTGTCCTGCAGATGTGCATGTGAAGCAGCCCAGCCTCTCTGCAGGCGTTATGTGAGGAGGATGCTTTCATGCCCACGAGCAGCTGCATCACTGCCGAAAGCTTCAGAGCTGGCTTAGAAGAGACCTGCTTGTTTCTAAGACAGGGAAACAAAGCAGGGGCTGGTTTGAGCAGCCTCAGCCTTTCCTTATCTGGGAATAAAAATAATTTCTCCCATCCCCTAGAATGTGCTGAAGAGCTTTATTCGCAT